CGTGCATGTGCGTGCAGGCTAGCTAGCTTTTAGCCAGAGGACGGCCGTCAGCGATGGATGCTAGTAGGGATAAGGCTGGTCATAGTGGGGAGTAACTTATACTAGTGTCATGCACATGACATTAGTCTAAGTTACTATCTTCATAGTGCAAAGTAACATACTACTATGTCATGTGCTATGAAGATAGACATTCGGGGATAAGCTTTCTTTTAGTAGATGCTGGAAGGCCACATACTCTAAAAAAAAAAATAGGGATGACATGAACCATATGTATAGTTCCAAGAACAATGAATGGTGTTAACACAAGAGCATGCATCTACAACATAACCTCTTACAACTATATCCATTAATCCAGTTCAATGACACACACGTATGTCAAACCTAAAATTTGACTCACGATGTCGACGCAACCAAATGTCGACCGTGCCGCGAGCACACATCGTCCTGGCCGGCTGGAGGACACATGCATGCACCTCTCTGACCGACCCAGGCCGGTAGCTTAGCCGCCAGCGTCCGACATGCCATATAGTGCGGTGCATCTTGACATGATCTCGCCTCACGTGTGTGCATGCATGCATGCAAGAGATGCGCTAGCATGCGACGTACCAAATTCAGCATATACGGAGTACAACGTACTTACATGCTTATTACTAGACGCAGTAGCGCGCCAGCGAGCATGTCACCACACTTTCGCATGCGCACGATCCATCTGACACGCGTGGGCGCGCGGTACTACTCACCTGGCCCCCGGCCCCCGGCCGCCGACGTACGTACTATACGTACTACGTGGACCAGCTTCGGCCGGCGGCAATGAGCACGTAGCACCTCGCTCGATCGCCGTCCATTTCTCGGCATCATGCATGATGTCTTCGTTTTATTTTATCATTTCTTGACCTCTGAGTACAGATACACCAAACGCGCAAAAAAAAAAAGAGAGAGTATAGACACACCACAGTCACATAAGACATAACACTACATTTTATTAAAAACAATTCCACGAGAAAATATCCCGCTCTCCTCCGGCTCCGCACAGACGGCACCCCTCTTCACCTGCCTCTTTCCCCCTTCTCTCCCGTGACCGTGGGCTCCTGCTTCCATCATGCAGTTAGCATCCGAAACAATAAGGTACACACAAAGGACGCTCGCTCGCCTATGCCACGTTCGAATTTCACTGTTGCGGGATCTACCCCAGGTAACACCTCCCCAAGGTTTCACGCTTGACAAAACGTAGGCAGTCAACAACGCATCGAGCCCCACGCCCTCGTCCTCCCCTTCTCCTTCGCAGACACGTCTCCTCCTCCCCTTTCTTCTTGTGCACGCCGCCTACTCCCCTTCTCGGCTGGAGCAAGGTGCCGCCGTCCCTCCGTCCTCGCGATGCCACCTCCTTCATCCGCCGCCGGCAGAGGCGACCGGCTAGGGTTCAGTCGCCGCCGCCAAAACGGATGGCGTGCTGCCCGACGAGTGGCCCGGCGCCTCGGCAAGTTCTCCTTCTCCAGCTATCTTCTCGTCACCGTTCTTCTCTCCATCCTTGCTCATCCCCTCCTCCTTGACTGCCTCTCTTCTCCTCTGAAGGAGCACGAGGACTGCTGCTGCTCCTGAGCCGCCACAAGGACGTCAGGTGGAGGAGATCCGATGCCGACGGGCAGCTCATGCCGGTGTCTGAGCTCTTGGATCCGTTGGAGTCACCGTTGTTGTACGGAGACGGGTCGGCGGGGGTGCTGGTGTTGGCATCGGGAAGGGGAAGGCGTCGCCGACGAGGATGCGAAGGAGGACGAGGTCGAGCCGGGTCGGTGAAGGGTGCGGCTGTTAGCTCGCTTGCCAAGCGGCTGCCTCTCTCCTCCTCGTCTTTGACGCCATGAAGAAGATCAATATTGAGAAGGACGCATGCTACAGGAGCAGCAGATGCGTCATGTGAGCCTTGGGTGATTGATGCGTTTGTGCGTGCATTGGTCAGTTGCGCTCATCAGGTACAACTCGCATCTCGTCTTTCCTCTTTGTGCTGGATCCAAAATGAGGATAAATTGTTGGGGTTGTAGGTAATATTAGGATTTTTTTATTGTTGTTGCTTCTTGTTACCTTCCTGTTCATGGTTGTTGTGTATGGTGTTCACCTTGAAGTCAGTTTCTTTAGATGTAGGTTCATCTCGTGTACCGGGAAGACAACAGTAAGGAGAGGAGAGCTATTATCTCGACAATAGAAGTTCAGGAAGAAAAGGTAAGATGTCTAATAGAGCACATCTGCACTTTTTCTGCTATCTTATGCAGTTTGTTTTGTTAGTTCCAAGAAGGAGAGGTTAAAGAATAATTAGGTGGTTGGAATGATCTTCATATTGCAATGAAGTGATTAGTTTGTATGTGGCTCATAGAGAAGTGATGTTGTCAATCGTCAAAAAAAGAGAAGTGATGGTGTTATATTTCCTTTTTGTTAGTCACAGTCTCTTGTGAAATAATTTCGTAATGGGTTTGTCCTAAAACTGCTTCTGCTTGGAACCACGGTCCGGTGCATTAAGGAGCAGCGATAATGGTTTTGGTGTCCTGTTAGATGAGTTCCTGGTGCATGATGAGTTCTTGTGGGCACACCAGCTCAATTTTTTGTCAATGTTCTAAAATAATGCCGTTTTTTTCAAGAAGATGACATGTCTCATCAGAAGAACAGTGTTGTAGTGCTCATCGCTCACTCAAGAAAGGACAAACATAAATTCCTGAAGTAAGGTACTATCAACTTATCTTGTTATATGTTCTTCAGTGCTTGGTTCCCTATGGATGTTCACATTTGCTTGTTGTATTGGCCCCAAAATCTCCAGGAGAATCACTTAATGTGAAATATCCAATAAAAGAAGCTCTGCCATATGCAAGTAAGAGACACGCTTCATTTGGAAGTTAATCTGTCATGGTATGCATGTATTCTCATTCTCAACAAACATAATATTGGCATCCTCTTTCAGACCATCTCTTCATTCTTGTATTAAGTTGGTATTAAATCTGGAAGAGGTGTATTGTAGGTTGATGTCTTTTTCATCCACGTAATACGAACAAATGTACACAATGTAGTCAAGAATCTGACATCTCAAAAACTATGAGCCATTGATGACATTACTGACTGACTGTGTTGAATTATAGGACTAACTATAAGTAAACCTTTTCAGGTCAGCGTATTGTGATGTTAACATGCCCCTTGAAGGACTGCAGGAGTGCTTGCCACGCTTAATACCAGTATACGATTTTCCATATCCAAGCTAATGTTGCTTAATCTTTCCCCTGTTTACAGTTTTAACATCTGCCTTTTGTATTTATTTCCTAGACTTTGGTGTCAAACATGGTCTACACTGAGGATGATGAATCGCTTGTAGATGCTGAGGTGTGGTAAATTTCTTTATATCCTACATGTATCAGCTGGTTATTGTGTGACAGTGGCATGCTCTGATAAATATTATGTGTTAGCCGCACACCACTGAGATTCCATGCTCTTTCTTGCAGGATCTAAAATATAGGAATCAACAAAAAAGTCCATTTTGGCTTACTACTATATTTCCATGGCATATGTCCGATGTCAGGCCTCTTATATGTGCTTTCGACTTACTTGATCGTATTTTAGTTGCTCGTGATTCTGCCTTGTCCTAGAAAGCAAACAATGCAAATTATATGGATTTTATGATTCAGTTCATGTTCATCGCTTGTCCATCCTTGGTACAACATTACATGCAAATATACTCAGTTGTTGTGTGTAAAGAAATTCATTCCAAATTTAAGAAAAAATAAGGGGTATCTCTCCACGAAGGATTGCTTTATGATCCTTTGTCCTATTTTTTGTGATTTAATTACATGCTTATATTCTCTGTCCAACTTATAACCTGGTCTGTATCTAATTATTTGCTAGCTAGCTCTTTCTCTTACTGCCAATTTTCTTTGCTTTACATTGTCATTTTTTAAATACTAATTATGCATGTCAAGAGAATATGCAGTATACAAGTTTTACATGCAGATCTTCTTGATTTTATATCATGCATTTATGTTCTTTTGTTTTCGTTTCCTCAAAGATGAAAAGATATTCAGTTCTCTGTGCGAAGTTTAAAAAATACAACTAACCAGTCCCTCCTTTTAAATTTGTTGCTTTGGTCTTCTGCTAGGTTTGAAGAAGGGCTAGGTTCAAAGTTTTAAGATGGGCTAGGTGAAGGAAATATGCCCTAGAGGCAATAATAAAGTTGTTATTTATATTTTCATATATCATGATAAATGTTTATTATTCATGCTAGAAATGTATTAACCGGAAACTTAGTACATATGTGGATACATAGACAAAACAAAGTGTCCCTAGTATGCCTCTACTTGACTAGCTCGTTAATCAAAGATAGTTATGTTTCCTGACCATAGACATGTGTTGTCATTTGATGAACGGGATCACATCATTAGAGAATGATGTGATGGACAAGACCCATCCTTAGCTTAGCATAATGATCGTTAAGTTTTATTGCTATTGCTTTCTTCATGACTTATACATGTTCCTCTGACTATGAGATTATGCAACCCCCGAATACCGGAGGAACACCTTGTGTACTATCAAACGTCACAATGTAACTGGGTGATTATAAAGATGCTCTACAGGTGTCTCCGAAGGTGTTTGTTGAGTTGGCATAAATCGAGATTAGGATTTGTCACTCAGTGTATCGGAGAGGTATCTCTGGGCCCTCTCGGTAATGCTCATCACTATAAGCCTTGCAAGCAATGTGACCAATGAGTTAGTTATGGGATGATGCATTACGGAACGAGTAAAAAGACTTGCCGGTAAACGATATTGAACTAGGTATGAAGATACCGGCGATCGAATCTCGGGCAAGTAACATACGGATGACAAAGGGAACAACGTATGTTATTATGCGGTTTGACCGATAAAGATCTTTGTAGAATATGTAGGAACCAATATGAGCATCCAGGTTCCGCTATTGGTTATTGATCGGAGATGTGTCTCGATCATGTCTACATAGTTCTCGAACCCCTAGGGTCCGCACGCTTAACGTTCGATGACGATTTGTATTATGAGTTATGTGTTTTGGTGACCCAAGTTTGTACGGAGTCCCGGATGAGATCACGGACATGATGAGGAGTCTCGAAATGGTCGATAGGTAAATATTGATATATTGGAAGGTTACATCCAGACACCGGAATGGTTTCGGGAAGTTTCGGAGTACCGGACCCCCCCGGGAGAGTAATGGGCCAACATGGGCCTTAGTGGAGGAGAGAGGGCCGGCCATAGGAGGTGGCGCCCCCCCCCCCTTGCCAATCCAAATTGGATAAGGGGTGGGGGCGGCGCCCCCCTTTCCTTCTCCTACTCCCTCTCCTTTCCCTCTTTGCTACTCCGAAAAAAGGAAATGGTAAGGGGGGGCGAATCCTACTAGGAGTGGAGTCCTAGTAGGACTCCCCCCTCCATGGCGCGCCCCCCTGGTGGCCGGCCTCCTCCCCCTCCTTTATATACGAGGACAGGGGGCACCCCAAAGATATAACATTGTCTTAGCCCTGTGCGGTGCCCCCCTCCACCGTTTACTCCTCCGATAGTATCATCGTAGTGCTTAGGCGAAGCCCTGCGCGGATCACATCATCAACACCGTCATCACGCTGCCGTGCCTATTAAACTCTCCCTTGACCCTCTGCTGGATCAAGAGTTCGAGGGACGTCATCGAGCTGAATGTGTGCTGAACTCGGAGGTGTTGTACGTTCGGTGCTAGATCAGTTGGATCATGAAGACGTTCGACTACATCAACCATGTTAACATAATGCTTCCGCTTTCGGTCTACGAGGGTACGTGGACACACTATCCCCCTCTCGTTGCTATGCATCTCCTAGATAGATCTTGCGTGATCGTAGGAAAGTTTTTGAAATTGCATGCTACGTTCCCCAACAGTGGCATCCGAACCAGGTCTATGCATAGATGATATGCATGAGTAGAACACAAAGAGTTGTGGGTGATAATAGTCATACTGCTTATCACCAACGTCTTACTTTGATTTGGCGGTATTGTTGGATGAAGCGGTCCGGACCAACATTACATGACCACGTTCATGAGACCGGTTCTACCGACGTGCTTTGCACATAGGTGGCTGGCGGGTGTCTGTTTCTCCAACTTTAGTTGAATCGAGTTTGACTATGGCCGGTCCTTGTTGAAGGTTGAAACAGCACACTTGACGAAAAATCGCTGTGGTTTTGATGCGTAGGTAAGAACGGTTCTTGCCAGAAGCCCATAGCAGCCACATAAAACTTGCAACAACAAAGTAGAGGACGTCTAACTTGTTTTTGCAGGGCTTATTGTGATGTGATATGGTCAAAACATGATGTGATATAAATTGTTGTATGAGATGATCATGTTTTGTAACAAAGTTATCGGCAACTGGCAGGATCCATATGGTTGTCGCTTTATTTTATGAAATGCAATCGCCATGTAATTGCTTTACTTTATCACTAAGCGGTAGCGATAGTCGTAGAAGCAATAGTTGGCGAGACGACAATGATGCTACGATGGAGATCAAGGTGTCAAGCTAGTGACAATGGAGATCATGACGGTGTTTTGGAGATGGAGATCAAAGGCACAAGATTATGATGGCCATATCATGTCACATATTTTGATTGCATGTGATGTTTATCTTTTATGCATCTTATTTTGCTTAGTACAGCGGTAACATTATAAGATGATCCTTTTGGGGAATGTAGTAATTTCAAAAAACTTCCTACGCACACACAAGATCATGGTGATGCAAAGCAACGAGAGGGGAGAGTGTATCTTCATACCCTTGAAGATCGCTAAGCGGAAGCGTTTATCAACGTGGTTGATGTAGTCGTACACCTTCACGATACGCCCCGATCAATTACTACGGCACCTCCGCGTTCAGCACACGTTCAGCTTGATGACGTCCTCGCCTTCTCGATCCAGCAAGACGGGCGAAGTAGTAGATGAGTTCCGGCAGCATGACGACGTGGTGACGGTGTTGGTGAAGAACAATCTCCGCAGGGCTTCGCCTAAGCACTACGGAAACTATGACGGAGGATAAACTAGAGGGGACGGGGTTGCCGGCACACGACTTCGTGTTTCTTGATGTGTCTTTGGTGCTAGCCCCGCCCCTCTATTTATATGTTGAGCCCTGGGGTCGAAACTTAGAGCAAAAGCCTCCTCAAAGTTGGTTTTGCCCGAAAGGCAAGAGTCCCACTCGAACTCTAGGACCAAACGCCACAATCCTTGGTGTCTGGCCCAGACGCCATGGGCTTCGGCGTCTGGCCCAGGGCCAGACGCCACGGTCTCTGGCGTTTGGCCCCCTGGCCTTCGCAAAACTCCTTTTGCACCGACTTATAGCCCCGTGGGCCTGACCCCTTGGCCTAACCATATCATCCAATATATGAATCTTTACCTTCGGACCATTTCGGAGCTCCTCGTCATCTCCGTGATCTCATCCGGGACTCTGAACAACATTCGGTCACCAACATACATAACTCATATAATACTATATCATCAACGAACGTTAAGCGTGCGGACCCTACGGGTTCGAGAACTATGTAGACATGACCGAGATACTTCTCTGGTCAATAACCAATAGCAGAACCTGGATGCCCATATTGGCTCCTACATATTCTACGAAGATCTTTATCAGTCGAACCGCATAACAACATACGTTGTTCCCTTTGTCATCGGTATCTCAATACCTAGTTCAATCTCATTACCCGGCAAGTCTCTCTACTCGTTATCTAATGCGTCATACCGCAACTAACTCATTAGCTACATTTGCTTGCAAGGCTTATAGTGATGTGTGATACGTCTCCGTCGTATCTATAATTTTTGATTGTTCCATGCCAATATTCTTCAACTTTCATATACTTTTGGCAACTTTTTATACTATTTTTTGGGACTAACATATTGATCCAGTGCCCAGTGCCAGTTCCTGTTTGTTGCATGCTTTATGTTTTGCAGAAAACCAATATCAAACGGAATCCAAATGGGATAAAAACGGACGGAGAATTATTTTGGAACATTTGGGATTTTCCGGAGGAAGAATCAACGCAAAACAGTATCAAAGTGGCCACGAGAGAGGGGGCACGCCCTAGGCTCTCGTGGGCCACCTGTAAGGCGGTTGAGGCTCTACTTTTTCCGCAAGAAAGCTAATTTTATGAGAAAAATCTGGGCGAAAGATTCACCCCAATCGGAGTTACGGATCTCTAGATATAAAGGAAACGGTGAAGGGGTAGAATCAGGGAATGCAGAAACAGAGAGATAGATCCAATCTCGGAGGGGCTCTCGCCCCTCCCAAGCCATGGGAGCCAAGGACTAGAGGGGAAACCCTTCTCCCATCTAGGGAGGAGGTCAAGGAAGAAGAAGAAGAAGGGGGCCTCTCTCCCCCTTGCTTCCGGTGGCGCCGGAGCGTTGCCGGGGGCCATCATCATCACCGCGATCTTCACCAACACTGCCGTCATCTTCACCAACATCTCCATCACCTTCCCCCTTCTATATTCAGCGGTCCACTCTCCCATATCCCGCTGTACCCTCTACTTGAACATGGTGCTTTATGCTTCATATTATTTTCCAATGATGTGTTGCCATCCTATGATGTCTGAGTAGATTTTCATTGTCCTATCGGTGATTGATG